CCACAGGGAACTACACAAGTACAGATGTTGCTGCCGTGGAGGACGTCTGTGGCAAAAACATCTCATGGGTGGACATCGGAGAGCAGGAGTTTATGGGCACACCACAGTCAGTCCCCTTCAAGCCTGCCAAGATCAATATCCTTAATTTCCCTTACCCGAGCTCCGACCCGGTGAGTCCATTCATTGTTCACGTCACTATATTGTGTATTAGTATTATCCTGCGGTCAAAAATTCGTGGCGCAACTTATCCTCAAATATCTTTATAACGGGTGAATCAATGTCACCCATACTTTGTACAGCAGTTTTGTCTCAAATGTCTTAACTTAATCATATTTTCCCACCACAATTGAGACTAAACTAATAAAATTTTCTTCATAAATGTATATAAGATACTACAAACCTCCTTCATGCGGCAAATAGAATTGTTCACAGCACTCCCCACTTCTCACATACATTTTGTATAAACAAATAGGTTACATAAATAGCTCATCTATGACTCTTTCAAGTGGCAAAACTAGTCACAAGAAATTAATTTCTTAGTGAACACGTTTTGCTCTAAAAGTTCTCCAAACATAGGTTCAATAAAGATAATCTCTCGATTAGAAAAATAAAATGACGAGCTTGCTTTTAAAAGCGATATCGTCCCAGCTGTAAACCTTTTTAAATCAGTAGAAACCACCCTCTATGATTTTTTATTAGTATTTATTACAGAATTTTTCAGAATAAAGCCTACAGGTTTTTACAAAAATATTTATCTGTTGAGACAAATTGATACAAGTCACTGTGCAAAAGCTGGAGAGCTTATGTTCTGCAGTTAAGGAGATATTTGACAATAAGTTGCGCCACGAATGTTTGACCACACTATACTATTAGTATTTTCATTACTATCGTTATTACCCAACGCTTGCAGGCTTCTTGACAGGTTTGTGCGGTTCAATTAGCTGACTTTCTCGATACTGGGAGTAATAAAATTTTTGCTGTATCCACTGAGGAGAAGATTGGCTGTGAATTCCGCTATCAGTTGTTTAAAAGAATTTTCACGGGAACAAATGCGACGGAGTCTAAGGGCACCACTATAGACCACAGAACGGAATATATGTCTGGGATGGTTTGAAGAAGGTGGGAGATAACGATTGGAGTCGGTAGGTTTTTTATACAGGTCTGTTTCAATTTAGTTATTTATAATGAGGAGGGACAGGTCAAGGAAAGAAGCGGATTTTCCTGGACTGGAAGAGATAAATTTGATCAGAATCATAGTCATCATAATCATCACCATCATCATCATCATCATCATCATCATCATCATCATCATCATCATCATCATCATCATTATCATCATCATCATTGTAGAGAGCTCGAAGATTCTAAAAAGGGCAAAAAAGTTGATGGAGGCTGTAAAATTTAAAGATTTTAAAATCATCATCTGGAGC